AAAAATTCTGTCATTATCATTCAGTTTCCTAAATGAGATGACTATTTTTCTAAGTTATTAAAAGGCCTTTTAATATTATAAACAACATAGCTATAGAATTTACTTGCTTTATCCTACAGTTAAATTTGCTATCCTTAACTTTTTTAAATTGATTTTTAAGGCTTCTTTTTGGCATAATTTTTTTTTTTTTTAATTTTCTGCTTCCCACACATTCCTTAAAAGTGAAATCAGGTGGTTGGTCCTTGTTTAAGGGGACCATATTTAAGAAGATGCATGTGAAACACATTAAAATAAGCACTGCTGAAAATGTTTTGAAGGTTGTAAGCTTGACTTTCCTGTGATAAGGTAACTGAATTTATCTACAGCTGCCTTAACATTTATTTTAAAATTCCCACCATAAATAAAGATTTTCAGTCATTCGTAGCTGAAAATCTAAGTTAAGAACTTGTCCTTTCTCTTTTGCATTTGTTTTAACCATTAAAACATTAAACAATTCTATGGATACTCATCAGAATTTTCCTTAGGATCTTACAAATTTCTGCCATAAGGAAATGGCAGAAAAGAAAAATTATTGACTCCCCAAATGCTTTGGATCAGGAGATTGCAGGTGCATTACAAGCACTGACTGTAACTGTGAGGTTGCGGGTCCTCATTGGCCTACTGCCTTCTTATTTTCCCCTTTTCCTGTTTCATTATTACTTCATTCATTTATTTGACTATTCATTGGGCTTCTAACCCTTGCCAAGCACTGTCTTCAGTGCCAGGGAAATATGACTTCTCCTCAAGGAATTTCATGTCTAGTGAGGGTTAAAGAAGAGTAAATGGGGAATTACCATAAAGTGTGATAACTGCTAAAAGGGTTCCTCCTTTGAGCTTCACAGCTCAAAGGAGGAACATCCAAACTAGACTTGAAAAATGGAATCAGAAAAGGCTCCCTGAAGGAAGTGCCAACCAAGCTGAGACCTAAAAGATGAGCAGGAAGTGAGCAAGGAAAATTAAGTGGGGAATGGAGAGATGGGGTGTTTTTAGCATTCCTGAAAGAGGGAATAGCACAGGCTAAGGCTAGAAGGTCAAGAGAACAGGGTGAGTTCAAAGAGTAATAGTTATGAGCCAAATGACAGCATTGCAAGGTAGATGTGGCAAAGGAGTTGTGAGAGAAGACACTGGAAAGAAAAGCATTGATCCTGAGTCATCTCAAGGTGTTTGATCCCAGGACAATGCAAATGCAACTACTACAGGATAAGGAGAGAGGTATTCAAAGATGTAATTCAACAGAAAAATATGAAAATAAAATTTTAAGCCTATTATAACAATCACTTTATATATACCAATTATGCTGACATACTCCCTTCACTAGTGTTTACTAAACAACTGTGCCTCAGATATTATTTCTGTATTTAATGGTTTCTTTTTCATTAATGTGCTCAGTTTTTACCATTTACAGTTGTCACTCTTGAAAGAAGAGTTGGATATACTTTAAAAGAGTGCATGTAAAATTGTTTATAAGACTGATTATTCCTTTCAAGTTCTACCAAAATCATATTAGGTAACCACAAAGAGACAAATTGTTTTCTTAGTTCACACATTTTTTTAAACTAGAAAATCTTTTGAACAAAATGGCTGATCATTAATATATTGCACATTCTTGATGTTCTTCCTACTAGGTAACAAAGAGGTAAGGAACAAACCTTTTAAGGCTTGAGTAGAAAGATTACTGGCATTCTTGATTACGTCTGGCTCATCGTTTGTCTGCCAGCCAAAGACAAGAAGAGATAGGGTTTTTTTTGGTTTTTTTTTTTAAGTCACAAATTTTTATTAATATTTATACATGTAAGGGATTGTAAAATGTTAGTACTTGGGATTTTTTTTTTTTGGCAAAACTGTTTTTTATGAACCCAGCTGTTAACTAATCTTCACATGGATTTATTGTACGATCAAACCATAGATTTATTTTCTAATTTAGTAAAAATTATTTTTGTCTGCTTCTGGTAACAGTCTTGAATTATCTGTTAGATATATTTACTTTCTATTAAGTCATCAAATTGAAGTTTGTTATTGTTATAACTGGGAAACAAAAGTGGCAAGTAATTGAAATAATCAATGAATATTTGAAAGATTGTGTCTTATAAGGCAAGTGAACAATGTAAAATGGTATTGCTGAATTTTAGGAAAATCTTAATTATTTTAAAAGTGAGATAAGTGATTTTGTAGTCAACTTAAAAGTGTAAGTGAGAACAATCACAATAGTGCAGTGTAGAATAAAGATGTTTATAAAATTTGTTGATAAATTAACATCAGTCACTTTCTAGTTTAGGAAATAGTTGTGGAGCTGGTGGAACTTATTGGTTTTGTTTTGAAATTAAATGGAGGAAAACCAAGCCAAAATCCGACCTCCCTTTCAATGACAGCATATACATTAATATGAATCCACAGAGATTTTGTACTACTTACTCTAAGAATATTCTATTATTCTTCAGAGAAAGAAGCCACTCCAGATGGTGCTATTGCAGAATACAGACGAGAAAAGCAAAAGTATGAAGCTCTGAGGAAGCAACAGTCAAAGAAAGGAACTTCCCGGGAAGACCAGGTAACTTCAAAAACCAAAATCCACACATAATTCATTGGCTCTTTATTATTTTCAAGTGTTGCTTAATGGAGCCTAATTTGATTATATATCAGGGGAAGTACTACCTCTTGAAAAAAGGGGCCAGCAGGACATGATGGCTCACATCTCTAATCCCAGCACTTTGGGAAGCCTAGGCAATAGGATTGTTGAGGCCAACACAGTGAGACCCCAACCCTACAGAAAATAGTAAAAATAGCTGGGCATGGTGGCGTGCACCAGTAATCCCAGCTATCTGGGAGTCTGAGGCAGGAATATCACTTTGAGCCCAGAAGTTTGAGGTTGCATTGACCTATGATGATGCACTATGCTCTAGCCTGGGCAATAAAGCAAGACCCGAACTCAAAAAAAAAAAAGGATGTATTTATATAAGGTGGTAAGGGCTTTGGCCACTTATGTAAAAGTCCAAATTCTAGAGTTCTTTCCGGACCACTGTAGGTAAAAACACCTGAAACTTTCAAGTTTCAACCTGGTGCTCCCATATAAAGCACAGGAAACTTATAAAGCCAAATATCCTCAAAAGCTCAAGTAGAACCTCTGTCTGAGTGAATATTATGAAATGGAGAAGTGGTGATTATAAATGATGAGAAGGTCTCTTCCAGCCCAGCATCTCAAATGCTAACTAGCCAGCTTAGCTTGAAATTACACACTGCCTGGAAATAAAGCATTTAATCTACTAGTTGATTTTTATTATAAATAAAACTTAGTTTATTGCAAGTAATTTCTGAATCTTTAGATAGTAATATAAGGAAATTTTGAGAAATCAAAAACAAAAAGAGATAGAAAACTAGCTCAACAATTTGGGAGTTAGCCATATACACCATGCAGTACTTGGCACTTGATAAAACAAATCTCTTCAGCAGCCTTTCATGTTGAAAAGCTAGGGGGCAGACTGAAATCATTTATTTTTGGTGCTGACATGTATATATGAGGACATGCCATTTTAGGTGTATAAATAAAACAGGCAAAATAAAAGTAAATTAAAAAGCCCAAACCTAGTTGGATAAATTAATCTAATCAAGAATTGTATTATAAATGACACTGAATTACTGGTGGAAGGATCATCATACAGCAGTGCTTAGCATGAAAATAATCACAAGGAAAGTTCAACAAGAAGTCAGGTATAAGAAATGGTAATCATGGAGAATTATCTTATTTGTAATTTTCAAAAGAAATAACACATCAAATGAAATTAAGAAAAATACATTATTAACTTGTTTTCATGGAGTCACAAAGTCTTCTGAATAGCAGTGGTAGTGACTATATTACCAAAGATGCTAAGGATCACTCTTTTTTTTTTTTTTTTTTTTAGACAGAGTCTCACTGTGTTGCCGGGGCTAGAGTGCTGTGGCGTCAGCCTAGCTCACAGCAACCTCAAACTCCTGGGCTCAAGTGATCCTCCTGCTTCAGCCTCCCGAGTAGCTGGGACTACAGGCATGCGCCACATGCCCGACTAATTTTTTCTATATATTTTTAGTTGGCCGATTAATTTCTTTCTATTTTTAGTAGAGACAGAGTCTGGCTCTTGCTCAGGCTGGTTTCGAACTCCTGAGCTCAAACAGTCCTCCCGCCTCGGCATCCCAGAGTGCTAGGATTACAGGCGTGAGCCACTGCGCCCGGCCTAAGGATCACTCTTATTCATGCATTCCTCTTTTTTTCTCCCTTGTAGCAAATAATTATTAAGAACCTACCATGTACTAATCACTGTGTTTGCTGGTCAACACATGGACACATTCCTGCCCTCTCTGAGCTATCAAGAAAAAGAGCTAGTTAAATAAATAATACCAATAAAAGGGGGTGAACACTATGAAAGGGCAGATACAGGGAACTAAGTAAATGTTTAACAGTAGGACCTAACATGGCCTAAGAATCTGGGAAGGCCTTCCTGAGAAAGTAGTCTGTCAGCTGATTTTTGAAGACTGAACAGAAGATAGCCAGGTGGAGGCGGGTTGTGGCTAGACAAAAGGAACAGTACATATATGAGAAGTCTTTGACCTCTCTGCAAAGAACTAAAAAATGTTAAATATGACTATAACATAAAGTAAGAGATTGAGAAAGATGAAAACAAAGAGGCAAGCAGGAGTCAGTTCAAGCAAAGTTAAGGAGTTTAGATTTACCCTAAGGGTAATGGGGAACCATTGACAGAGGAAGTGATTTGATCTCATTTGCATTTGGGGAAGATCCTTCCGACCTAGCTGTAGTGTGGAGAGTAGACTGGAAGCAGGGAGGACTGGAGGCACAGAAGCCAGTTGGGAGACTCTTGGGTGTAGATATGCATGAACAGAGTCTGCCAAGGCCAGGCCCCTTCAGAATAGCTTCCCCATGCTGGGAAGGCTCTCCCTGTGCTGAAGAGCTGGGCTGTAAGTGGTTGATCATTCATTCCTTTAGCAAGAGCCAAAAGACTGAGTAATTCCCCTGTACATGCCAAACAGAAATGCTCCTATCTTCTTCACCCTGTACTGTGCCCCATTATTTTTGTGATTTTTTTTTTCTGCCCAGTGCCTTCTCTTGCCTTTAGAATGCAGCTAGAGAGAGTCCAATCTTGAATACAGAAGAAGCTAAGAAAGACCAAGAGAATGTTTTTGGTTTGCCACAGTCCCCCCTCTTTGAGCAAATGCCAATAGCTCATTAATTGACTCTAAAAACTGCCTTGCCATTTTTAACTCAAGGAGAAAGATCTAGGTCTAGTATAATTTTCTACTAAGTTTTTAAATTTCTTTCCACTAGGAAATCTTTTTTGTTTTCATTTTTCTTCATGCCCTTAGAAAAGACATTTCCAAATGTACCAAAGTCCATCATTAAAAATTGATAGGGTTTACTTCTAAGCTGTAGATTAGATAGATACAGAAATATACATATGGAGACATATCTTTATATAACATAGATGTAGATATATAAACACATACATACACTCACAAAAACACATACACATAAAAAGCCTGAAAGGATATATACCAAAATGTTTAGCAATGGTTATTCTAAGTGCTAGGATAATAGTTATTTTGTTTTGCTTCTGTTTTCCAATATTTTACAGTAATCTTTTTCTTATTATAAAGCAAATATAATAACAGTTTGTAAACAATAGGGTTTTTTTTTAAATGAATGTTATTTAGAAACAAGGGATGCTTTCTCTGTTAATATTGTTTGAAGAGCTTAGTTCTATCATCTCTACTCTAAAAACAGATGAAATATCTAAAACCTAACACACTAGGCAGCCTTCAGAATGTCTATGATGATATTCTATAGGAATTTATAAATTTTCTCCAAAACGCACCTCATTCAGCAGCTGTGGTAATATGTATATTTTCAGCTGTTGTCTATGTGGGCATTAAATTTTGCAGACATGTATAAAGCAATTTTCACTATCTTTTTTTTAGCAATCACTGCCTTTTTTTCCTGAGGTTATTTTGGCATTACTTGTTTTTATTAAATTTAGGTTCTAGACTTCCAAAACCTACTTAATCTTTTCATGAAACGTGATCTTAATGATATTCTCTAGATAAATTCTGGAGCTTCGGAATTTATTAGGACTCTTTAATGTACCTGTTATTCACAGATTGAACTATCACTCATCCTTTTACTTATGAACTATGAGGATTTTAGTATTGAATTCAACATATCAAAACATTGATTAGGCCGTTGATATTTCAGCCTGGTAATACTTTATCCCATTTTATAACAAGGTGCTCTTTAAACCTGTAAAATGGAAAAAATTTTCTAGCTGGTGTTCTCTGCTGAAATTGTGGAGTAGGCTGTTAAGGTATAGCCAGGAGACAATGTGGTTACAAAACTGTAGCCACTTGTTGCTGCTTCTTGACCACAAAGAGCATGGGAGCCAAACAAGAATTCAGAGGAATGTTCCCCCCACCACCTTTTTTTTAAAAAACATACTCAACGTAATATTTGTATCCTTCTTCTTTTACTTAACAAAAGAATACAATGCTTCATGTAGATAATTTTTAATAGCAGTGTAACAGCATATTTATGGCTTTTTACCAAATTTATCTAGTTTCTTATTGATAGACATTTAATGTGTTTCATTTTTTCCATTTGTTTGAATATTGCTACAGTGCACATCTTGTGCATAAGCCATTTTCTGTGTTTCAGATTATTTTTCTAGAATATATTCCCAGGATTAGAATTATTGAATCAGAGGGAATGATCATCTTATAGTTTCTGATATATATCAACAGCTTTCTAAAGATATTATTCCAATTTATCCATCTTCCAACAGTTAATGTGTTCATTCATTCTACCTTCCCAATATTGATATTTTTACATTTTTAGAAATTTGTTAAATAAAAAATACTACTTGTTGTTGGTGTTTTGTTTTTGATTCCATATATCTTAGTGAGTTACCTCCCTGTCTTATGAACATCAAAAATATAACTATTAATAAGCATGTGTTTTTAAAAGTTGACGTATCTTCTACATAAGCAAATTTATGTTCCCCAAAACCGAAAATGGTCATCTATCTCTAAGGAAAAATATCAGTGGAAATCCAAACAGGACAATGTCAAGATTTATTAATATCACCCACTGTTACAGCCTGAGGGCAGTTTTGTTATTTTTCTTCAAAATCAAACATCTAAGTGTTTTACATCCAAGTAGGATATTTTCTTTTCTACCAAACTTGACTGTCTCTTTTAAAGTTATATTTATCTATATCAGAAAATTTAGCAGTCTAATTATTATTTCAGACCCTTGCGCTGCTGAACCAGTTTAAATCTAAACTCACTCAAGCAATTGCTGAAACTCCTGAAAATGACATTTCTGAAACAGAAGTAGAAGATGATGAAGGATGGTAAGGGCTTTGATTTCTTTATATTAACCACAAACAAATAGGCTCAGATTAGAGATTCTATTGGGTCATTTCCAATGTATCTTTTTTTTCAGACTTTACTGTCATCACAATAGGGTCTCGGCACCCTTTAACTTCATTTCAGTTCAATATAAAGCGAAATAAATAAACACACCAAGCACTCAATAAACAAGTATTTATTGATGCTTAATGTGTTCCAGTATTGTGCTCGCCAGTGAAAAATGCGCAAGAAATATATGACACTGTTCCTAATCTAAGCGACTTTCTAATATTTGTGGAAAAGGCAAGACTCATGTTAAACAACTAGAAAACAACCTTAAAAGACAATAAATCAGTAATTTTTTATACTTTCCCACACACATTTTAGAACTCAGTAATCCATTTCATAATCCTACTAACTTCCTCTTCAAATTTATGATCTACAGGATCCTAGCAACACGTACATAGATAATTTTATTTTTATTTTTGGATATTTTTCAGCTTTTTCAGACACTGATAAGAAATAAATTAATGGCATGTACATGTCCTTTGCTTAGAACTTCATCCTATACCAGCAAAAAAAAAGAATAAAAACTGTGTTTTTCTTTATCACACCCCTCTGTCCTCAAACTGACTTCACATGCAGTGTATTAGGGCTCCCCACACCTAACTGCCGCCACCTCCCACTACACCCTGGCTTAGGCACATTGCTGCAAGCAAGCCAGTGTATCCCCCCCACACATGACTCACCCTCTGGAGCCTCTGAACCGTCACATGTGCCATTACCCCAACCCAGAATCATAGCCTCGGTTCTCCCTGCCAGACAGTATCTCCCTTATTTCAAAACTCTGTTCAACACTCCCATCCTCCAGGAAACCAGTCAGCAAGATTTGTTGAGCACTCACAAATCTACAGGGTGGAGGAAGGAGGGCTGGGACACACATTTAAAAAGACATAAAAACACTCATTAAGAAAACATTTAAACACGTAAGACTCTGCAACTGTGTATAACTTTAATCAAAAAGACTGAGGGAATATCAATTTGAATGCAATGAATCCTACCCAAGCTAGGACCCTGAAAGCACTTGTATATGTCTCCATTAATTTATAGTTTTCATATGATGTGGGTTATAATGCCAATTTTTGTAAAATCCTAGATCTCTTTTAATCACTTTCTATTATTTATATATATTTGTTTATACTTAAATTGAAAGTTGCTTGAAGGCAGAAGCTAGCTCCTTGCACAGTTCTGTGCCAAAGGTGAAGGCTCAGTGAGTGTTGATTGACCCATAGAGATAAATGCACATTGCATAGAACTTTCTGCTTTTTATATGACTGGACAGGTTTAGTTTTATTTTGGATTCCTTGAATGTCTCAAAATATCTTTCAAATGTTTTGGGTTCAGCCACCACACAAAAATGTTTTGCCAAGTCCTCTTCCCCTTATTTTTGAATCCATATGCATTTTTAAAGGAAATATGACCCATGTGTTTCTGATTCATTTACACTTAACTCATCAAGATGGTGTTTTGTAAGAGCAGTTTGATGCCCAATAAGTTTTTTTAGCCTTTTTATAAGCCACTTAAGTCCTTTTTTATTGAACAGGAAAGTCACCAACAAATTCAAACCCCAAAAGTTTCATTTGAAACTCATAACCCACAGGATTCGAATTTACTTTCAACTTGGCAAGACCATTTAACTTCCCAAGGTTCTTCCTAGCCCCTTGGTTCACTATTGTCTCATTTGAATTCCTCATTAGCTTCAGATACCAATTATGTGTTTTTAAAAGTGTCATTCTTGTTTTTGATCTGATTCCATAATACAATCAATTTTCTATCTATCGTTCTCCTTGGAAAGTTAAACAAATGGGAAAACTTCACCAGACATGGGAGTAAAAATAACTGGTCAATGATGTTGGTTAATTCTCCGTCCGAATTAAAAAATAAGTGGTGAAGAAGCAGGGAATAAGTTAAAGGAGCCATTAGCAGGTTTTCAGGGCATTCATTTCTGCTTTCAATTGTAATCTCCTAAACAGAAAGTCAGCTGTACACTATGTACCTCCAGAAGTTTTTTGGTATTTCTTGTATCTAATATCTAAGAAAAATATCTTAAGTGTTCAAGGCACTATGTAGAATCTTACAGAATACATAGGGCCCTTATGTTGCAATATAGACCATTGAATTTTGATAAGACCATTGTAACTTGATAAGCAACAACTTCATTTCTGTTCATAAATAAACCAGTTTAGATTTATCAAGTCTCTGGTGATTTAGATCCTTTCTCATAAAGCATATTCTAAAGGAGTCTTGTATTCAAAATGATTTATAGCAAATATTATGAGTGCCTGGCATGTGCATGTGTGTTATGCATAAATTACATGGTTCCTAGACTATTTTCTAGGTCACGGTTGCCGCTTTTCTAAGAAGTGAAAGTCAGCCAGTGTTCTGTACTACACTGTCAGGATCTGTTATCTGAGGTAGAATGATTACTTCTAAGACATTTTTATGTGTCCGCATGAGTGGCCACACATTGAGGAATCATTTTCATTTTCTGTCAAGATAGAAACCATTACCAATTTGTTATGTTTTCTTTTACTTGGCAAACTATTCTATTTGCATTTTTGGCTGAGCTGCTGTATTGGCATGGTATACAACAGACATTTGGGTACCATTCAGCAGCATTCTACTTTTTATGCAAAAAAAAAAAAAAGTGAGCGGGGGAGAGAAAGAAAAGAAATATGATTCTATTGTAAACAGTACGTATGGTGTTTGATAATTATTCCCAGATTTCACTGACTAACAAGGCATTTAAAGAAGTGTTACTAGTAGATCTAAGCTGAAATGCATGATAGAAATTTTTCACTCAGAATTACTAGGATTCTTTCTTCGTTCAGATGTATACCACCAATATTTGGTGGCATTGATGGTATCAGAGTCCAGTTTAACAGGCAGAGTAGTCTCTTTGTCTCTGTATTCCTTAGTCCCACAGCATCACAGACTCACATGGCTATAGACTCCTTCTTCAAGCATGGATTTTATAAAACCGATTAGACACATGGCGGGAGGCATCAGCCAAAGGATTCATGTGACCATATGGATGAAGTCCATATGCCAGTTGGGTTTGGTTAGATAAAGCTTGATTAGCTCCCAAAACAGTTTTGAGAGAGCTGCAGCTGACAAGGCAGTAGAGAGACTATAAAAAAAGAAAGCCACCTGCTCCTGACATAGCAAAATTGGCATTTCTAAGGAAAGGAGAAAAATTAAATCTGTGAGAGTAGACTTTGATCTTATCAACATTAACTATTCACTAGTATGTTCCATTGAAAATTTTTTTCCAGATTGTTAAATCTAAGGTTAACTTAAAACTTTACAACAAATATACATGATAAAATGATAAACATAATGATCTGTCTGCCTTCTTCCCTCTTTCTCTTCTTCTTTCTCTCTCCTCCATCACTTTTCTTCATAGTACATACAGTATTCAGCATTATAAAAATTTGAAAAACACTAACAATTGCATGACTGTCTCAAATAAATATTTTAATAATTGTTATATAATTAAAAGATATTTACTGTAGAAAAATCAGAACGTAGACTTTTACTTCTTGGAAGAAGTAAATAAAAATCACCTGTGATCTCAAACTCAAAGATAAATACTATTAATTTATGCATATTAATTTGTGTATTTATGCTATTTATACTAAATATGTAAAAGTATATGTTTAGACATACTAATTTATACCCTTCCAGACATTTCTATGCACATACATATTTTAAGCAGAAATGGGATTATAAAGTATTACAGTTCTATAGCTTCCCTTTTTCCCTCAGCAATATATAGTGACTGCTTCTCCTTATTATACATAATTTTATGACATAATTTTTATATTTTGTATTATGGCCATGTAGTATTCCATTATATAATATGATGAACCACAAATATACTGGGCCATGTTGTTGAATATTTAGGCTCTTTCCAGTTTTTATTATTATAAACAATGCTGTAATGGATATCCTTGTATATATGTCATTGCCCATTTTTCTCAGGATAAATTTCTGAAACTGGAATTACTTAGTGAGTGTGCATTTTAGGCTTCCGCTAAATATTTTCAAATGACTCTCCCAAAATGTCATTCCAATTTATACTCTCAAGTTAATATCATTTAAGACGTGCCTCTAGGGATATTATAATCTCAAGAATTAATTAAGGTTCTTTGCAGTGCTTTGTGAAAGAGAATAACATTTTAGAAGAAATGCTTTGCCTTTGTAAATGATTTAAAAATACAAAAACAGTCTGATTTGCTTCTGTTTTTAATAAAACTATACAAGTTTCAAAATAGCTCCTCTTCTCAGGAGCCTCATCTCTAAGTGGTCTTGTTCTTGGTTCTGAAAAACTCTCCTTTTAAGATAATTCTATGGGTTAAAACTTCTGGATCTGGATTTTTTTTCAGTATTATTACTGCACCTTGGCTGGTATTAAAAATAAGTTTTATCCATCAGTCAGACAGTTTTTTTCTGCTAGAGATTGAAGTTCTGAGAACCAAGATTTGGCTTGAAGAAGTTTTAATGCCTTCCTCTGGAGTTAGCATAGTACAAAAACAACAAGTACCACCTGTCTGAGTATCCAAAATAGTGAAATTTCAATAATGCAGATGTTAAAAAAAATAATTATTGACTTTAAGAGCCAGTCAGACCTCATTATAAGATACGAACATAATTTCATGCCATTGCTCAAACTAGCAAAGCTTTAAACCCCTTTTTATATGTAATACATACTATAATTTGTGTATAGTTCAGTCATGTATTGAGTGAAGGGTGCAATGACAGCAAATGAATATTTTAATTATAGTTCCCCCTTCATTCAAATGGGACATTGCCAGGTATAGGTAACAGATTGGTATAGATTAACACAAATACAGCTGTAAGGATGGAGACCTTGGAAACAATAAAGGCCCAAGTTAGCCAAATGAGAAATTTTCTTCACTCTTTAGTGTTAACTAGGCAG